ATTATTTAGATTATTTTTTATATAAAAATTATAGATTTTTAGTTATTATGTTTTATAAAAGTTTTTCTTTAAAATTTAATAATTATTTTGTTTGCAATTATTATCTTTTAAAATATCAATTGTTTTGAACACTGCTAACATAAATCAATTGAACAATGCATAATATAAATATATTTGTATTTTATACAAATTTTTTAACATTGTGCAGTATAATTCCACCGCTGCGCGTCAAATCGGTATGTTAAATTGTTTTTTAATTTCATATAATATTAAAGTAATGAAATTGGGAAAATCATATTCAATAAATCGCTAAAGCATTTTCTCTGACGCGACTATCAATACATAAAAATTTGAAATTGCTGTTTTAACAGTATTAACAAATTTTAATTATTTGCAGCAAGAAAATTATATAAAAAATTAAAAATTTTAGAAAACTAAAAAGGTTCAGAGAATTAAAAAATAAACATTTTTTCAATGTTGTAAAATTCTATCATCGATGCTTGCAGTATCTTTAACGCAAACTCGTATTGCATGATATGCATTCTGCAACTTTTAATAGATCCAAAGAACTGTGAGGCATTTCGCACATATTTAATTCGTGACTGTTGTGCCAATATTGGCTATTGTGCTGTATGTGCCATTTAACTATTCTTTGCTGAACTTCCGCGTACCTGCCTTGATTGACGTTGCAGGTGAGCGCATCTTCAGTATTATCACGTATGCTTTGTTATACTGCTTGCATCGAGCGATTGAATAACTTCGATTACAATTAATTAAGACACTATGTAAATTTTTTTTTTCTCTTACTGATTAATATTGTTATTTCGATGAAAAATACAACAACAACGAAATAATAATTAGCCAATGCTACAAGGATGAAAGCAATTTTGACGAATATTTAATTGGAAACATTAATCGCGTTCAATCAATCAATATATAATGTAAAATAAAAAATTTAATTAATATACGTAAATACGAAATTTCTTAATTCTCTGGATAAAAATTCTTAATTCTGTGAGAACATAATTTCTAAGTCCTTGAATCTTTATTTGCAAAATACGTTGTATTAAATAATAAGTAAAACAAACGTAACGAAAAAATGAAAATGAGAATAATAACAGAGTAAATATAAATAACATATAAATTCTACGATTGATTTCACATTAGAATATAACGATCGTTCCGACATTGAGCTGACAAATCTAAAATGTGATGAAAAAAAAATTTTATTCTATCTATGGAGGGGGGATCCCGCGAGAAATCGTCGAGCACGCGATTTTGTAAAAACCGTGAAAACCGGACGCTTCCACGCGTCGTGAATTCCGACGAAAACTCACGCTGATGCAGGTAAACAAATGCGCAATCGTTAAACAAAAATATTCGGCCAAACTGCCGAACACACAGTGACTACCGACTAAATATTTACATAGCTGAGTGCCGGCGTCGGTAATAACAAAGGAAAATAGGCGAAATGCAAACAACAATGCATCGCATTCGTGCGACACGCTACAGACAGCGGCGCGCCTTTCTAACGGTGCGGCTTATCACCCGTCCCTTTGTACTTAGGATAAAAGTACTCTTAATACTATATCTGATACGTTTTCGACCGTGTAAGATTAATGATCTTTCTAATGTTAACCGACGGATTTGTAAAAAAGCACATTAGCATGAATTAGTATAAAAGCATTTAAATTTCTTGGAAAAATTTAACAAGTTTTTTTTTATTGCTGTGCTATTATTATAAGAGAGAGAGAGAGAGAGAGAGAGAGAAAATGGTTGCTCAGTTTCAAATAATAAAAACATAGCAAACAGAATTAGATACGCTTTATGACCAAAAATTATCTCTTAACTGATATTCAATTTGTGAAGGAGTGTAGTCCGCTAATGTAATTCTACTTATCACGTCTTATCATGTCCCGCGTTTCGTTACGTCGAAAACGCAATTCCAACATGTAACCGACGCTGCCGACGCGCTCTCGAGGCGGTTACAGCGCGCTCGATTTAAATTAATAAAGCTAATCAGGCTAATCTATTGACCGGGCGAGACCGCTCCGCGCCGCCATTGTTGATGGTCCGCTGGAAATATGCAAATGAGCGGGGGATGAAAGCGGATGGGTACATCAGCGGCGCGCGTCATCACTCAGGTACCCGCTCGTCGCCGTTATGGCTCGTTTCTCTGTGTATGTGGCTGTGTACGCCTGTGATAATGAAAATACCGGGCTGCCAGTATAGCGGGAAAGAGGAGAGAGAGGGCGGGTCCAACCAGAGCGATCATTACAGTCATCAGCGAGATGACCGGCTCGATAGTCGATCAATTAAATGACCCTGCCGAATTCTCTCTCCCTCTTTCTCTCTCTCTCTCTGCGTGTTCGGACGAAGCTCGGGCTCCCTTTGCGGAAAACGACACCGTGTCCTAGCGTCCTCTCTCTCCCTCTCTCTCTCTCTCTCTCTCTCTCTCTCTCTCTCTCTCTCTCTCTCTCTCTCTCTCTCTCTCTACGATGCCCAAAATATCGATGCTGCGCAAACGAGGCGCCTCCGGCGTGTCGGAAAGAGTATGCACCCCGACGACGACCGATAAAATTATTTTAGAAAATTACCGCGTGTTACCGGTGATGATGACGATGAGAGACGCGAATCGAGTTAGGTAA